CTCCATTCTTCTACTGTCAAGGCCAGCTAGCTAGCTGTTCTCTGACGGATACTGTCCGGTGTCAGAGAGATTTAGAAGATTAGCATTCCAGTTTAGACTCATGATTAATGCTTGGACGTAATATCTTCCTTCTCATTGAAATACATTCTTATTCTTTTCTGTCTTTCATTTATATTCCAAGTTCCCATTCTCTTTCTTTATATCAATAGTATTTTGAGGTCTAACTTTATATACAGTAAAGTATATAACTTTCAAGTATTTAGTTTAATAAAGTTTTACATATGTGTACATGTGTAGCTAGCATCCAGATCCAGCATATGGAACATGTCCTTGTGCTCCTCCCAGTTAGTTGTCCCAAGGGCGACCTCCGTTTTAACTTCTACCTCCATACATTGATTTTGGATGTTCTTATACTTTATTAAAATGGAGCCATAGAGTTGTACTCTTTTGTGTTTGATTTCTTCCATTCAACATTACACTGTAACTCATCCATGTTGTAAAGAATTCCATCGTGTAATGTATTCATCTATTTGAGTGCTTATAGACATTTGGACTGTTTTCAGTTTGGAGCTTTTACAAATAATAATGCAAGGAAATTCTTGTACATGTCTTTTAGTAGACATAAGCACTTATTTCTCTTGGATATATACCCAAGAATGCAATTGCTTAATCATAGAACATGAATATATATTTTCTTTTAGTAGGTACTATACTACCAAACATTTCCCTAATTGGTTGTACCAGGTAAAACTCCCAAGTTCCTGTACTTTGAAAATTCAGTTTTCCTCTGCAATATTTTCATTTTAGGTTGGTGGTGCTATTTAATATTGGATGTAGAGATATTTGCTAACTTATTGCAGATTATATATGTACATACACGTTTGTAGTTCATATTCATTTAATATGAGTATACTTGGGGGTTTAAGAGTGAAAAACTGTCCCTAGGATTAAAAGGAAACTTCATTTGAAAAATACAATATTAATCACAAAAAATTTAACAACTGAATAGATGTCTGATTTTATGACTTAGGAGTGAGCATTAATATCAGCCAAGTATGATATTTAATTATATCCAGATTGAAACCAGAAGGGAGAAGTGACTCAGGAAGGTCTCCTGTATCCTACCCCTGGAGTTATTTTTGTAACAGGAGAAATTGCATTTTATGGCTACTGTTTTTCTCTCATTTATTCCTTTGGGAAGAAGTAGTAACTCAATATCGTAAACACTGCTTAGAATCCTCAGCATTGAGCAGTTTAATTCTATTGAGTGTGTGTCAGTACATGGTCAAAAAAGAATGGAAATGTAGGGCTTCAGTTTCTTACTTCACATAATGGTTAGTTCAAGTAAATGACCTGCATTGTCTAGAGGGCACTATAACTAATATTCTGGATATTGCCTGGCTGGTGTGGCTCAGTGGTTGAGCGTTGACCCATACACCAAGAGGTCGCCGGTTTGATTCCTGGTCAGGGTACATGCCCAGGTTGTGGGCCCAATCCCCAGTGGGCAGCATGCAGGAGGCGGCCATTCGATGTTCTCTCTCATCAATGTTTCTGTCTCCCTCTCCCTCTAAAAATCAATAAAGAAAAAATTTGTAAATAATATTTTGGATATCACAAAAATAATTGTCAAAGTAAGGAGCACTTAGAATCAGTCTAGAAAAACTTAGGCTGTATTTCTTCCCTTTTGGGCAAAGCTATGTTAGTCCATTCATTCATTCATCATTCATTTGCACAGTGATTCAATGACTACTTATTATTATATGCAAGGCCCCTTGTACACCTAGTATACACCTAGTATATAGAAGGAAACAAAGCAAAGACCTTGCTGTCGTGACACTGATCTTCTTGAGTATAAGGGGCAGGAAAATATATCAATATATACATATATGTTATATATGTTCTGGAGGAAAATAAAAAGAGTAAGGGGCATAGGAGTGTAGGCTTAGTGTTGGGAACTGCTGTTGCTTTTTATAAGCAAGGTCAGGGCAAGTCTCTCTGTCAGTGACACTTGTGCAGAGATCTGAAGGGATAGAGCAATGTGGATGTCTAAGGAAAGAAGAGTAAGCTAAGAGGACAGGGAGTATGCCTGGTGAGCTGAAGCACAGTAGGAGGCCTCTGCAGTTCAAGGGCAGGCAGTGACAGGATGAGTAGTTGGAGGTGGGATCAGAGAGACAGTAGGGACCCCGATCAGATAGGTCTCTATAGGTCATTGTAATGTTCAGATTTTTACTCATCATGTAGCTGTAGCACCTTTTGGATTTATAAATTTCAATTGTCCCTCTCTAAAATTAGCATAACAATATCTAATTATATAGGATTTCAGTAAGGATTAAGAGGGACTGTGGAGTGTTTGAATTGCCTGACAGGTAGTAGGTACTTAGAAAGTGTTGATTCTTTCCACCTTCCCTTCTTCCATTTAGCTCCATCACTGATCTGCTGGCAGGTCCTAAAGTATAGCTCTCATTATGTCATTTCTCTTTCAGAAAATCTCAGTAGTTCCCTGTTGCCTCTCAGGTTAAATACAGGCACTTTTGTCTGGCATTCAGAGCTCCAGTTCTCTCATTCCACCTTCCATTTTTAAGTTTTTTCCCCGTAACTGTCCTTCTCCTTGTACTTCATGTATTAGTCAAATTCACTATTTTATTATCATGCTACCACTTCTACATACAATTTCATCTCTATATTAGCATCGCACCTATCCTTCAAATCATGTTTCAAATGCCACTGCCTTTACAGAGTTGCTAACAATCTGAAAGTGAAAAGGGCAGCTGGAGGAGGCAACACTGACAACATGTCCAGGTCCTGCTATTTACTGTCATCCTGGGGACATTACTTAATCTCTGCAGCTCAGTTTCCCCTGCAAAATGAGAACAATAATACCTACCTCACAGGGTTGTTGTGAGGATTAAATGAGATACTACATGTAAAACCCTTTGAATAGTGCCTGGTACCTGGAAAGCTTAAACAAGCTATGTGATGCTGAATATGTTAGTCTCTCTGGATCTTTCTTCCCTGCAAAAAGAGGGGGATGAACAGAAATCACTAAGTTTTCTTTCACTTTATATAGTCATGTGGATATCTAAGTTGCCTGCAACTCAAATCGACCAAAATAGAATTCTTTTTTTTTTTTTTTAACCTCACCTGAGGACATTTTTTGATATTTTGTTCAGTTAGAGTGGGAGGGCGGGAGAGAGAGAGAGAGAAACATCGACGTGAAAGGGACACATCGAGTAGTTGCCACCCGCACAACCCAACCAGGGCCAGGGACAAACTGCAACCAAGGTACATGCCCTTAGCGGGAACCGAACCCGGGTCTCTCAGGACTGCAGGCTGACGCTCTAACCGCTGAGCCAAACTGGCCAGGGCCCAAAATAGAATTCTTTAATGTCCACTTCTCTGAACATACTCCCTCCCTATCAGTAAATGATACCTATCCACAGTTCAAGTAAAAAAACAAACAAAAACTTATGAGTTGCCTTTGGATCACCTATTTATTTCACCATCTAAATCTAATCTATCTACAAAAGCTATGGTTCTACTTCCAAAACATATTTACTGCTACAATCCTAGTTCAGTAATCTCGTCTGTATGGTTGCCAAAGATTCCTAATTCATCTTTCTGCCTCTACCTTTGCCTTTTTGCAGCCTGTTTTCCAGTGAGCCAAAGTGATATTTAAAACGTAAACCAGATAATACCACTCTTCTGCTTAAAACTCCCCAGTGGCTTTTCATCATACTTAGAGTAAGATCCAAACCCCTGCAGCTCCTGCCACTCTCCCCCTTACACTTTAGATGCATGGCCCTTTTTCTTTTCTTTCCAGCTCACCAAACTCATGGCTGCCTTTGGCCTTAGCACTTGCTGTTCTGGTTTTGGAATATTTATCCCCCAGATGTCAACATGACTTGCTTCTTGTCATTTTTATCTCAACTCTAATTGCCCTCTCCTTTCTACTAGTAATGCTCTATCATACCCTATTTATCTATCTGAAAATAGCCTATTTATCTCTTTGTTCCCCCCAGTTGACATTAAATGTCCTCATGTTAGAGTCTAATTCCTAGCACAGTGCCTGGCACATAGTAGATATGTAGGAAAAATCTGATAAAATATACACCCATTTTAATGAAATATCTAAATATTAATTACATGAGCCAGGTGTTGCTTTTATTTTAAAGTGTTCCCTTCATTTAATCCCTCATGCCAAATGAGTATTATGAAGGACATATGCTTGAACTAGAAATATGATTGTAAATGAAACAGTAATACAGTTACAGGTTGCTTTCCCCCCAATTGGTTCTCAAACTTATCATTCTACCCATCTCCTCTCCCACTAATGTGGTAACAGTGTAAAATTCCATCCTCTCTGGCTTAGAGGATTGCCTCCTTTTTGTTTATTTAACTCCCCTTCCCCCAGTAAATTCTAATCTCCCAATAATCTATTCTCCAGGCTGCTGTCACCCAGCTTTTCAGTTGCTATTATACTCATGCTTGAAAACCTTTGGCGTTTTCATTGTTCTCAGGATAAAGATCAGAATCTGCCCTCCTACTCCACTACCTCGCGTCACGCCAGCCCGCCCTCCCTCCTGGTTCCCGCCGGCCACCTGGCTGGTGGCCCCAGATCCCCGCTTCCCGGACATTTCTACATTGCACCCATTTCTGCTGCAGCTTTGGACCCCCAGGGGATTGCCCCTTCCTCAGAGGGGCCCTCCCGGGCTAGGCCCAGCGCCATTCCCCATGCCGCAGCCCCACCGCACCACGGGCCTCTCTTTCAGAGCTCTTACTTTATAAATATATACTCCTGAATACGGTAACCTTATTAACATGTGGTAAAGCGAAGTTGTGCTCAATAGCTATTTGCGGAAAGAACTTAGGAGCTGCCCACCCACTCCTCGCCCCACCCCCAGGGGCTGCGGCGCAGCTATTACGCATTAGGCAGGCGCCGCGAGACCTATCGCAGGACGCCTGCGCGATGGGAGACGCATGCGCAGAGCATCGAGACCGCTGACAGATTCTCGGTGGCGGCGGCGGCGGCGGCGGCGGCGGCCCTTTACTGCGGGGAATGGGAGCCCTAGCTCTCTGACTGAGCACCGCCCCGCCTCCCTGGCCCCCGACATGGCTCAGGAAAAGATGGAGCTAGACCTGGAGCTGCCTCCGGGTACGGGCGGGAGTCCGGCGGAGGGCGGCGGCAGTGGCGGCGGCGGGGGCCTCAGGAGGTCTAATAGCGCCCCCCTGATCCACGGCCTCAGTGACACTTCGCCGGTGTTCCAGGCCGAGGCGCCGAGCGCCAGGCGGAACAGCACAACGTTCCCGAACCGCCATGGCCTGCTGCTACCGGCCTCCCCCGTCCGCATGCACAGCAGCCGCTTGCACCAGATCAAACAGGAGGAAGGCATGGACTTGATCAACCGAGAGACCGTCCACGAGCGCGAGGTGCAGAACGCAATGCAGATAAGCCACTCCTGGGAGGAAAGTTTCAGCCTGAGTGACAACGATGTGGAGAAATCCGCCTCCCCGAAGCGCATCGATTTCATTCCGGTGTCACCAGCACCATCTCCCACCCGGGGAATTGGGAAGCAGTGTTTTTCACCATCCTTGCAAAGTTTTGTGAGTAGCAATGGATTGCCTCCAAGCCCCATTCCCAGCCCAACGACCCGATTTACTACTCGAAGAAGCCAGAGTCCTATTAATTGCATTAGACCAAGTGTTCTTGGACCATTGAAAAGAAAATGTGAAATGGAAACTGAGTATCAGCCAAAGAGATTTTTCCAGGGCATCACCAACATGCTTTCTTCTGACGTTGCACAGCTGTCAGATCCTGGTGTGTGTGTATCTTCGGATACCCTTGATGGAAACAGCAGCAGTACTGGATCTTCCTGTAACTCACCAGCGAAAGTCAGCACTACCACCGACTCTCCGGTGTCACCTGCCCAAGCGGCCTCTCCATTTATTCCAGTAGATGAACTTTCATCTAAGTGACTCACCCATCCATCCCCGAGACTCGGTTGTTTTGTTTTGTTTTGTTGCAATGGAGAGAAAAATCAAGTTGGAGCAAGCACTGAACTTTGTCGATTAATCTGAGGCTATTTCCTATTTGATCCTTTTCCTTTTTTGGAATTTCCTGAACTGTTGGTATTCTAGAGAACTTTTATGTCAGGTTCCTGCGGATGCCCTTGAATTCAGTGTAGTAATATTTTCAGACGTTTTCCCAATAAGTGTGTTGAAGCATACATCTTTACGCTGCTAATATGTCTAAATACATATGTTATCCCTTGATTTTTTAAAAAATAATCGAGAGCTCTATTTATTTATGGGATTATTAAGTTCTGATGCAAATATAAATGTTGAATTAATCAGTATAGTAAACTGATGTTTTAAAATTCCATACTTCATGCCCACACTAATTTTTAATGTTATTTTTGTGATCGCTAGTTTCTATTTGATGAACAGTAACTTACGTATTTACGCTATTTTTAAAATATGTTAGTTATCAATCCAGTGGTTGTCTGTTTTATCCAGGAATCCTTGGATATTTAAATTTCAGGGCACAGAAGTGGATGGGAGGGGGTATGATAAAGAACAAAATATAAACATTTGCAACAACTCTTTTAAAATTAAACAAAAGTAAACATTTAAGAAAAACATTTTCAAATGAAATGTAATAGTAATTCTAATAAGTTGTCCAAATATAACTACAGGAAATGATTTTTTTTTTATCCAGAAAGTGCATTCTCTTGGGTATAATCCTACAGTGAAATGGGACAGTGCCTTGCAGTCTTAGCTCACTGCACATAGACTGAGGCCAGACTCTTTGTAACCACTGCAAACCTAAAAGTTATTCAAATGTGTGGGAAGCCCTGTTGAACAGCAGAGCATCCAGGCAGATAAAATGCTCAGTCATTAATATACTTTAAAATACTCAGTCATGCCTCAGTGAAAATCGTTGCCAACAAAAAGCCAGAGCAACTTTTGGCTGCTTTTTGGCTCTGCCCATCTGTCACCTTCCTGGTTTCCCCTGGCTCAGGAAGGAAGCAGCTGTTTCCTTGCCAACAGGTCCTTCCTCTCCACCTCCCACCAAACTAGGGCATCATCGGTTAGACAAAAGTACAGTGTGATTTGGATTTCTGACAGTGAGCAACAGCAGGACTATGGAATTATTTCAGGAACCTCTGTGGTTAAAACTACAGCTGGAGTTGAGTGCCTTGGGATATGAGCTAATTGTCAGTGACTTGCAAGAGAAAATCAGTGGAGAGTCACATAGGTAAATCAGTATTTGACTTAGGTTTTGTTAAAGGTAGAAGTGTGAAATGTTCTTTTTTTTTTTTTTTTTTGCCTTTTGCAATTAAGACAAAATATGAAAATATTTAATAACAGTGTTTTTTATATTATACTTCTTATATCATCCTTAACTAGAAAGAAAGAAAGAAAAAATAAAAGAGGGAAAAAAATTAAAAGACTAAAAGAGAGACCAAGACAAGAAAACTCTGGCTTTTTAAAGTTAATACCTACAGAGACTTTAACAATTGTGTGGAATTTTTACAACTATGAGAATAAATGGAACTGGTCAACTTTTAACAGTTGCCTCAAGAATTCAGTGAAATTACATAGAGGGTAAGATCACGTGCAGAGGCTTAAAATTCTCTCTTTTAGGTAATAGTTTTTGTGTACCCATTCCTGATCTTGTTCCTCAAATTCAAACCTGTATATCCAGCTTCCTGTTGGGCACCTTGACCTGCTTCCAGGGGTACTTTAATCTCAGCATCTCTAAAGCAAAATGTATTGTCTTCTCATTGAACCTGTTGTTGAAATATCTAAATTGATTATGTCATCACTGTCTAATGTTCTAAACTAGAAAACATGGGAAGCATCCTTGACTTTTCCTTTTTCCTATCTTTCACATTTAGCTTAATCACCAAGTCCTGTCTACTTCTGAAATGAATCTCAAATCTCTCCCTTTCTGTATCTCTATTGCCAGTGATTTAGCTTCAGTTCTGGCCTACGTGATCTGCCAGCTTATTTTCTTACCTTCCTTTCACTCAGTCTTCACACTGCCTTTGAAGTGATCTTTCTAAAATCCGAACTTGATTTTTTACCCTCCTGCTTAAAAACTATATGCTTCCCCATTTCCTACATTTTAGGGAATGCTTTTTTTAAACTTAGTATGTAATAAGGTTTTTGTTTGTTTTTGTTTTAATCAACTGGTTAAAGTCTTAGAAGCTCTAATCCTCTCTTCATCCTGTCCCAATACACATCCTTCCTTCTTACTCTGCAAACATTAGACTACTTGATATTCTTTAAATATGCCGCATGCTTTCATGCGTTTGTACCTTCGGATAGATCGTTCCTTCTCCTTAAAATGCTGTTTCTGTCATTTTCAGCTAGGCAAATGCTTTATTTCTTTTTATTGCATGTGAACTTAACTATGAAATAATGTATAACTGCTGATTATAAAAATATTTAAGCAATGCAGATGTCTATACAGTGAAAAATGTTAAGTCTGCCTGTTACTATGTAAAATTCATCTTCCCTTCCCATAGGTAATTTCCGTCAATAATTCTGCTTATATTGTATAAGATGTGTTATTCCACATTTCCATTGATATATGTATATAAATTCAGGAAACCAACATGTCATTTACATCTCTCTTCCTTTCTTTCCCCCATAGTTAATCATTCCCCAGATCTTACTGATTTTCTCTTCTAAAATCTACCTGTTTTCATCTTGACTGCCTCCCTGATCCAGGATACTATAATTTCTCTCTTCTGTCTGAAGCTGCCTTTTAATTCCCACTTGTCCCCTCATGCTTGCTCTGGTTGACTACCCATTTATTCTCCATATAGCAACTAGAGTAATTCTTGTAAAATTGCAAATCTGACCTGTCCATCTCCCTGCTTGAAAGCTTTTCATTTGCTTCCTGTTGTTACGGTGTACCTACATGTATCGATTCTGGCCCAGGATGCCTAGTGGGTTGTATGGCCCTTGCCTCTCCCTTCCCTTGTTTTCTGTGCTTCGTCTTCGATGGCTTGCTTGCATGTTCAATACTTTCTGTTCTCTCCTATTTTAGGACTTTTTTTCAGATCATTTTTCTTGAAGGTATAGAGAAACTTATTTCTGTAAGCTTATTATTCTATATAGACAGTCTTAAATCAGATGTGTCTCTAAGAGTTTATATAGACAATTTACATTATTATGTTGTTCATAACTTCAATCACTACTCTGTAGAATGTAAGGATTTAGATCAAGGATTATCCTTCAAAAAATTCTTTTTGGGGTATTAGTATTGCTAATCTATAAATTTTGTGCTGTAAATCCCAAAACACATAACATTTAGTTACAGTATAGTTTGTCATATATAACAAACTTCTGTGGTATATTTTACTTTATTATGTTTGTTTAAAACACAATGTAAGTGGAAAAAATAATTAATGGGCACTAAATTTGCAGCAGCTGGATGTCAGAACCTTTAAGCATATTTAAAAAGTTGATTGTAATCGAGAATAACCTGTATCAGGTTGCCTTCCAGTGATTCACATTATTACAGTTCAGCCAGTTACATACCTATAGGTATTTGACAGTAAGATGGAGAAAGGGTCAAGGCTTATGAGGGGAGCAGATTGAGATTTTTTTTTCTTTTGGACATGTTTATGGACGAGTAAAAAAAAATTGATGATCCAAGAGAGAGGTGGGAGACTGGAAAATAGTTGCCAGAACAACAAACCAAAGATGGTGCCGTCACCTACATTTCCGGGGTAATACCAGGGAAGAGAAGAAAGAGTTGGTCTTGGAAAGGAGGTCTGGGAGCACTTATTTTTTTTTAAAGGAAGGGGAAGGAGAGTTGAAACAGCAAGTAAATGTTGAATTGATTTACTGTTGCAAGAGTTTAGGGGTGTGGGGAAAAGTATATGAAAAGTGAGAATTTGTATCTAAATGCTTCTATTTTCCAATTACTGAGGAATCTATAATATTTGAGGGTGGAGCAAGAGTCGACTTGGAAGCTTGAGAAAAATAAAGGTTTAATGTTGCCTCTATGAGAATCTGTAAAGAGTGAGTAGAAGGTTTATTATGCCACATTGGATGCCGGCTTGCACTTGGATGACAGGTGCAAAAGAAATGGATTGGGTTGACCTAGGTTTGGGAGTTGGTTAAGTATTAGGTACTCGGTAAAGTTCAGTGTGTGAAGCAATTAAGGATTCTGCTGAAGGAGTTGCATGATTGGCCAGGGTCTTGGGGATGGCAAGAGAAGTCAGCAGTGGGTTATGGGCCTTTATCGGCAAGGTCTTACAGTCAGCTATGACAAAGTATAAGAGAATCTGATCTCACTTCAGAACTCTTGCATTAGCAGTTTTGCCCATGTTTTTCATGGCTAATTTTGTTTAGTTAGAAAATCAGTCCTACATCAGCAAGCCTTGAGTTCCACTTACTTGATTTAAAAAAAAAAATAAAAAAATTGAGCCAAATTGCTCACTATAGCCAAGACAGTTCTTTTTTCTTTTTTTTATTGGTACGTGCCCCTAGTGGGAACCGAATCTGACACTCTGGTCTGCAGGCCGATACTCCAGCCACTGAGCCAAACCAGCCAGGGTGCCAAAGCAGTTCTTTATACCTTTCCCTAACTTGCCATCCAGGTAAAATATGTTCTTAAAAGTTGAAATGACCTTTATATAAAAAATTATATGCAAAGTGCTTGCTGTATGTCAGGCACTGTTCTGGGTGCTAAACAAATGTCTTATTTCGTGTTTATCATCTGAGATAAGTGCTGTTACTGTCCTCTTTTTTAAATGATGAAATGGAGACACAGAGAGGTTTAGTAACTTGCTCAGCATTCCAAAACGGAGGTAGGCAGTACATTATGGTTAAGAACACAGGCTACGGAGCCAGATGGCTGTGGTAAGGATTACATGGGTCACTATATGTCAAGTCCTTACAGCAATCGTGGGCAATTTCTGTACAGGTGTTAATTGTCATTATTATCATTGTGGTGGTGGTGGTGGTGTCATTATTGTTGTTATTTTAATAACAGCAATAATGTTGTGGACCTAATAAGGAATCTTTTCTTTATCATCCTTGACTGATGAAACTCCGACTTTCACACTCAGTAAGATTATACTCTCCACCCTTCAAGGCATCCTATCCTATTATAAAGAGAGTGTTTTGGATGTCAGAGAGTCTTTTTTTTTTTTTTTTAATTTGTCAATTACATTTGACATACAACATTATATCAGTTTCAGGTATACTACTTAGTGATTAGACATTCATATAATTTAAGAAATGATCTCCCCAATTAGT